ATTCTTCAGCTTTGAACAGATGAATGGATTATGAGTAAATATAATTAAAAAAATTAATAATTAAAATAATAATAATATAAATAAATAGAATGAGTTTATCTGTCTATTATGTAATATCTATAGCCAATCATATAATCTACATATAATTTACTAAGAGAAATCATATTATTTGAATTATCTCGATATACAGTAATCTAATTTTAATGATTTTAGATTCATTGGAATCGTCTTGATAAGCTGAATCTAATAGTATTTGTTTCATTTAATTTGGATCGATAGAATAAAAGTTATTAAGGATTTTGTATTATTCCTTAATATTCTATATGTCAACACCATATAATATAGATTAAGTATGACATAAATCATGATCAACAAAGAGAAAAGAGAGGTTTCTTAAAGATTATCAGAGGAGAAAGAAAAAGGCTTCTTTGTTTTGTAAAAAAGGTTTTTTAAGAGCTTCTTAGTTAAAAGTTTCTTATAGTTTTCTTTCTTTAAAATCCTAAATATTTAAAAATTTCTTTTAGTTTTCTACTAGAAGTCACCAAATATTACAAGTAGTATAGTCTTCTTAGTATATTACAAGTAATATAAAATACAGAAAAGTGACTCTTAATAGTTTCAAAGCAGAATATTACTTTACAAAGGCAATTCATTAGAAAGATTATATTAAAGTAAAGGGTATTCTTTATTTACAATACAATATCAATAATATAAGACTATCTATTAGTATCTGTACTATGAGAATTCCAATATTAAGGAGACTATAGAGAACAAACATAACTTTAACAGAAGGAAGAAAAGGCAGGGTTTTTATATCTTTTTTTAAATATTCTCAATTATAGTTAAACATCTTTAAATATAATTAAACATTTTCAAATATCATCAAATATTATTAAATATCTTCAAATATAGTTAAATATTATCAAATATCTTCAATATAGTTAAATGTAGTTAAATATTAATAGGAATTTCTAAACGCTAATAATTTAATAATTATTAATCTAATTTCTACAAATTATAGCTCATTATGATCATGAAACTATTTTGATTCTAATAATACTATTTAAAGATATTGCTAACTTATAAGATACAAATAAAGAATAACTAATTAATAAATATAAAATAAAGATAAAAATATTAAAACTCATTTGATAACAGTGTATAAGTTTTAAGAAAAGTAAAGCTAAAGATTTTTGCAAAAGTTCATTTTGTTATTTCTATACTATTATTTTTATTACTATATTTTTCACATGCTTTATTATATGCTTTTTTTAGGTTTACAAAAAAAATTTCTGATAGTTACAAGATATGAGTTGTATATGATAAGAGAGCATAAAGAAGGATACTATTATTGTAACAAAAATCAATAACTGTATTACTGATATAACTTTTGTAACTATCTAGTATTAGTAACACAGATCGAAATCAAATATATTAGATAAGCTATCTGCTATCTGATATTTATATAATACAAAATAATAATTTAACAAAATATTGGCATAAAAGATAGTTCATTGATATCTTGCTAATATTTAATAGATAGATTTTGGTTAAATATCAGACAAGATATCTGCTGTCTGATAGTTCTATAATATACAATAATAATTTAACAAAATATTATCATGATTTTAGTTAAATATTAGACAAGATATCTGCTGTCTGATAGTCCTATAATACACAATGACAATTTAACAAAATATCATTATAATTTCAGTTAAATATCAAACAAGATATCTGCTATTCAATAGTCCTATAATACACAATAACAATAATAATTTAACAAAATTTCAGTTAAATATCAGACAAGAAAATATCTTGTAGAAATTAAATTAATATCTTTATATATCGATATGTAGCAGTTATACAAGTTATAGCTATGGCTTATTAATTATCTGAATGGTATATATCAATTGTAATATTAATTTAAATATATATACAATAAATATATACTAGGTATATATCTATGTATAAATATAGATTATCTTATGTATGTACAACCATTATAGATTATATTTTCTATTTAACAAAATCACTGACATATACTCCTGAAGTTTTCTTAATTTAACTATAAAAGTACTAGCAACAAATCTTCCTAGTATGTTATGTACAGGAATTATACAATTATGATCTAAATCATAAAAATTATTATTCTATAATTCTACGTTACAAAGTTTATTATCATTTTTGCTGATACTAAGTTGATATCTTAATTTTTTATCTATTTTTTTGTACTAGTGAACATATGTGAGATTATGCTTGTTGATTCTTCTGAATAGTCAACATAATGCTCAAAAAAGTACTGAACCTGATCTGAATATGTGATTATATCTTCATCTTCAGCAAATTTTGTAAGAATTCTTGAAGAATTTTTATGCTGTTTAGAAAAAGTAGATCTGAAAACTTCATCACTTATTCTTACTCTTCTATATTGATTTATTATAAGTGATATACCTATTAACCCATCTAATTTCAAATCTTTAGGTAGAATAAAAATATTCATTTTGTAAGCATTATTATAATATTTAGTAAGTAATTTCATAAAATCTTAGGAGATGTATACATTCATTCTCTTTGGTGTAAAGAAGATTTCAGGAAGTGAATCTGATCTAGTGCTAGTACCAACTCTCTCTTCTACTAATCTTAATATAGAAATAAAATTTATTGCATCTTTATTAGATATTTTGTAACTACCCAAACTTCCAAAAGATTGTCTTAGAGCTAGAATAGACAAAGCTTCAGATAAATTAGTATCATTATAATCACTAATAAATCAATCAATTTGTTTATTTCTTTGAATAATATTCATAAGTTCTGGCTTAATTTTTCTATTACTGTTTTTGTAGCTTCCTATAAGATATAATTAATATTATTAAAATATAGAGATATTGACTAAATTATTAAGTTTTTTTTTTTTTTTTTTTTTAAGAATATAGAGATATTGACTAAATTATTATTATTATTATTTTTTTTTTTAGAGATATCAACTAAATTATTATTATTATTATTATTATTATTTATTTTTATTTTATTATTATTATTATTTTAATTATTAATTTTTTTAATTATATTTACTCATAATCCATTCATCTGTTCAAAGCTGAAGAAT